TAGTCAGTAATGTAGTGAATGCTTGCAGAAGTGAAATGAATATTTAATGATATTAATAAAAGAGTAAGGAGATAGAAATGCGGGTACCATGACTATTCCCCCAATGACAAGCAAGCCACATTTAGGTATATGTTATTTAAAAAAAATGCTGAACTGTTGGATCTTAGAAATTGGCTGTCAGAAGTGAGCCAGATGGCATCTTAATTTCAGTGTCATTGTGTCTAACATAGGGATATCTTTCAAGAAATCTACTAATCTTGCATTGTATTCTGTGTGTGTGTGTGTAAAGAATGGATGCTTTGATAACCATACTTTATTACCAATTTGATGGGGCATAGTCAATGCCTTATTTATCTATTTCATCATTTTCTTTATCATCTATAGCTGGGGAGTTATGGTGCTTTTTTCTTTTTTTGGGTGTTTTAATACACGTTGAGACTGCAAGCTGAATCTAAAGGATTCCGGCTTGATGATACTGGGTTGTTTCCTGCTACTCAGGGTTCTGGTGGCAAACGGGTAGTTTTTTCTTTCTTTTCAATAATAATTTTTTTAAGGAATGTGTCCTGATTTCCGTGAATTAGCTAGTATGTTTATATTGCAGGGTGCAAAAGGTAGTGCAAGTTTGAAATTTTATACAGAAAAGAAGGTGTTTGATTTCCTGGGCTTTCCTTGGTTTGGTGTTAGCCTTTCGTTCATATGAGGCACAACACCCTATTGTGCTCAAATGTTATTAAACCCAAACCGGTCATCGACTCGATCGGGATACCGAGTTAGTGGATCCCGGATAGATATATATAAATTTATATTTTATACTCAATTATATAATAAATTTTTTAAATGGTGCAATTTAATCAACAACTTAATATAGCCTAGTGCAGTTTCATAAAAAAAGAGTCATTAGTACTTGGAGATTCTAGCTTTTATTTGGGTGGTCTTCTTCCACTTTACATTTCTACCATATTGTTATCTCAACTTCATCATCTAGTCATCAATACTTCCTTCAGTATTAGTATGTATCTCTTTATTATGCAGCAAAACCTCAACTTGGAATTGGGTTTTGGAATATTAAATCATTTTATTATTAGATGGATTTAAGTTAAAGGAGATATGTAGTCTTGCAAGAACTTGACCAGCCCAAATCCAGAAACATGAATCACAAATTCTAGTTCAATAATATGTTATTTGACTTGGGGTCTCTATGGAATATCACAAGGGAAAATATTTTGCAGAAAGACATTATCATGAGAATAATCTCTATTGATCCCCACAGCTTCTTAGCATCTCCATTTAGCATGGTTCATCGGTATATAACCCCAACTCCTCTTCTTATGATACTGTTTTTCTTTACACTCTCTTAGATACCTTCATTTACATATTCTTGCTTCTGAAATACTATTAATGCTTTATCTCTCCATCTCTTTGCATTCGATGAATTGTTGTTATTGCTTTATGGGAATTCCTTTTTCCTTGCATTTACAAGCACCACATCAGCCTGGACAGAAATGGATTGATTCTTTATAAGCATGTTTCGGTAGCTTTAGTAGCAGACTGGATGCAAAGTGGACCACATGTGACTCATTTAATAAATTGAACAATTAACTGGGTTTATTTTAAACGAGTTGAGTTGCCAGTCTTCCCGAAAATTGACCGAGTCAAACGGTTCCTGTTTGGTTGAATATATATCCAATCTAATAAGTCACTTGGACCGGCTACAAGACTGATTTACCGGTGTTCGAGTCCAACCGGCTGGTCCAAGCTGGGTTTGGTTTTGGTGAGCTACGCTATGCATTCTATAATAGCCCTCACTAGTAGTTATGGATTTAATGTTGAAGAATAATTAGACTTAAAAGAAATAAAGTCACCTTTGGTAAAAAAGGAGTTAAAATGACAGTTAAGGGATAAAAATGCGGGTAAACAAAGTTACCCGAAAAGTGAAAGTAAATTTAAAAATATGATTAGAAAAATATTCTAGTCCATTGGGAAAAGTTTAGTAATGACTGGAGGTGTGTAGTTAGATAAACCTTTACTCAGTTGAATTTAACTTGACCTATATAAGTGAAATTTCTAAAAAAAACATATGATTCATTCTTATTTCTCCTCGCGGACGACAGTGGCGGAGAGAAGGAAAATGGAAGTTTGAAATCAAATCTTCCAAGGATCATAACTTGAGCTAGAGACCTCCAAATCACTCTGTTCCAAAGCCATACTTGTGAGAAATTTCGAGAGGAATCCATTGTACCAGTATTTCTGGGTGGGTTTCACTGTAGAGATAGATCTTCCTCATCTAAGATTTCGGATTTCATGGATAATGGGGATTTTGATGGAGCTTGAAGCCATGGGAACTTGAAGTAAGCCTTCCTATTCGTTCTAGGTAAGTTTATGTTGAGAAATCCTGGTTTTCTTTGAGTTTTGAGGAAGATTGAATTTAAGTTTTCATTTTGAAAGTTTGGTTTGATTGAGCATGTTAGAGCTTGATTGAGGCTTGACTCATGTTGAGAAAAGTGTTCAGATGAAGATTTTAACAGTGAAAATGTATTTGGAAAAATTGAGATACCGTATTTTTGAATAGTGACGTATATGAATAGTACCGTATACGTGAATAGTAACGTATACATGAATAGTACCGTAGAGATGAACAATACCGTATGTATGAATAGTTAAGAAATATTTGATAAGTAAAAGATGAAATCAATAAATGGTGTGTCTGGTTAACTACTTGGCTTTGAATCATTTTATTGATATTTGTATGGATTCCGTATTCTAGGTGCGCCTAAGAGTCTTGTTGAGGATCCTACATCAGAGGAGGCTTGGTAACTCGGTTGTTGGGTAGGCCATCTATACAGCTTTGAGAGGTAAGCTCTATGTTTATGGGGTTCGCTCCTACTTTGTGTTCCGCCATAGTGTACGGACTGTGGTCAGGTTGCATGATATGTATGAGATATTTGATATAGATGCATTCATATAGAGCTATATGATGATGTGATATGATATGTTTTGATGTGGTAAATTTGATATGTTTTGATGTGTTTAATTTGATATTTTTTGATGTGTTTATTTTGATATCTTTTGATGTGTTTACTTTGATATGTTTCGATATGATTTCTGTAATGATTTCTGGACATTGATTTGTTTATGCACTGATGTCCGCTTGGGGTCCTCCCTTAGGAACATGTGCACTGATTTCCGCTTGGGGTCCTCCCTTGGGATTGATTGTGTACACTTTGTTATGTGATGATCTTTGGCCATTGATCCTATGTGCACTGAAGTCTGCTTGGGGTCATCCTTCAGGACTGATAGTGTACATCTCTGATATGTTTTTGGTTCCGCTTAGGGTCCTCCCTTGGGAACATGTACGTTGATTTCTGCTTGGGGTCATCCCTTGGGAATGACTACGTACATCTCTGATATGATATGCTTTGTTCTGATGTGATTATTGTGATGATTTTTGTATATGATATTTGTTACGTGCGTTGATTTTCGCTTGGGGTTATCCCTTGGGAATGACTGCGTACGTCTCTGATAAGATTTGTGTATATGTTTTGTTTAGTTATGATATTTGATTATATGATATGTTAAACGAGATATGTTCAGTATAGTATGATATATGATGTTTTGTATATTATGTATCTGACTGTCATGCAGGAAGTGAGCCCAGGGTATGGAGAGTTCTCTATAAACCCGGAGCTTACTAGAGATTCGTCTCTAACTCCGTTTGGGGATATGATTTTAGGAACACAGTTAATTGAAGAGCCCTCATGGGATAAGGACACTACCCGTGGCTAGAGGTACTAGTATGAGGATATGGAGTTCTGGGTAGCCGGAGGCTACTATTTATTATAGATGTTATTTTTGGAGAACATGTACTGTTGTATAGTGTTCTATTCATTTGGTGATCATGATGTCTGATCCTTTATTTTGTATATGGCCTGTATATGTTTTGTACATGTCTTTCAGTTGGATGCATGTACACATCTGAGTATTCAGGCATGTTGATATGATGATGTAGTATTCAGTTTATGTTTATGTGTTGGATTGCATGTTGTTAGACATAGTGACACGGAGCCAAGTTATGCATGCGCCTATGGATGGATATATGATCCTATATGAATATCTGGTATGTCTGAAAGCATATACTGTATAAATTGTCTATCAGGGTACCTTGAGAGTGAGATTTGCAAATCCCCAGTTGTCCGATTTACAGAGGTTACTCTGTCCGATTTTCGTCTCCGTCAAATAAGAATTAAATTAGAAGAAGTATGCAATGTGATATGTCATGTGAAAAAAGATTAAAGAAAAAGAAAAAGTTAGCTCATATTTTCGTAAGTTAAGTCTTCTGCTGTTTCTGTTTGTATCATATGTATATTAATTGAACCGGCTCAAAACGGGAATGTTACACATTCCACCTTGTAGAGTATGGGTGCTGCTTTGTAAAATATGCTAGGATACAAGTTTACAATGGTGTCGACTTCAATATATGTTTTGTGCACAGAAATTGCTCAATGGGATGAGTGCAGTTTTGCTTTAGAATTTGTTAATGTATTATAAGTTCAACGTCATGATTACATATATTAATTAAGGGGTTTGATTTTCTCATGTTGAATGAGAATTCAATTCTCATGTTGTAGAGATAAAAAGTATGTGGGACCCATGTGTTAGAAAAAATTATATGTAGGACCCATGTCAGCACGAAAATCGAAGGGTGTGTAGGAAAATTTGAATTCTCATGTTGAATGAAAATTATAAAACCCATTAATTAAAACAAGGTGATCTCAAAAGTCCTCAAAATGTGGAAGAAAACCACTATCATTGTGAAGCACTAGGTACTTCGATTGTTGACTGCATGCAACACTGCTTATTGCAGTCTAGTTATATCCTACCAAATAAATGGTCTCTTCTTCTTGGGAAATAAAGCTGGAGAGTGTTGAAAATGATAACTTCCACAGAAAAGAATAGTACCTTGAACATCCATTCAAGCAAATAATAAACTCAAACAGCCTAGAAAGAAAAGACACAAAAGTGCTACAAGGAGACCCTTCTTCATTATCTGAATATCAAGATCTCTAACCTCACAAAATTACCACCAATGTCACTCTCCCTCACTGAACCTCTTCTTATCCCCGTTTCTCTCTTTCTCTTGTTGGTTCACAAGGCCTCTGCCATTCTACCCATCATCCTAGTTAACACGTGGCACAATAGCAGACAAATGACATCAATATATATCCCTATAAACCTGACAGCATTTTTAGAAGTCGAACCTCTCCTACCAATTAAAGTCATGAATATGCACTTTTTAATACATTGACAGGAAAATAAAAGAGATCAAATTAACAAAGGAGCAAATAATACAAATCTATGAAGATTGTACATGTACATATTGTCTGCAAAAACTTAAGACTAAACTTTATTCCTAACTTAGCTGAAAGATGCAGACAATGCAGTCTTCAGACGCCACCTGCTGTAACCATCTTGACATTGTCATTCTCAAAGTTCACCACGGAGTTCTAAACACAATGAAGAACATACATAATCTTCAGTTTCAGAATAAAATATATTGTGCAGTAAAAGTACGATAAGATAAAAACCTGAAATCTAAATCTAATGTAGGGAAAACATTTTCTCATGTTGCATAAGAATTCAACTTTCATGTTGTGACCCTTCGATTTGCGTGCAAATTTTTTCTTTTCTTTTTCTCTTTTTAATAAATGTGGGGCCCACCATTAGTTGAGTCACAACATGAGAATTCAATTCTCATACAACATGAGAAAATCAAATCCCTCTAATGTATTACCCAATTCTCTGACCCTTATTATTGATGTTGAGCACTTTAAAACTTAATGTCCATTTAAATTTAAATAATAATAGTTAATAACCCGTACAGGAGAACTAAATGTCTTCGGAATATGAGCCATCAAGAAGCTACTAACCACATGAACCGAAAGGGGTTGTTGTTTTTTAACAGGAGATGGAAGAAATTTAATTCCAGCAAAGAGTATTTTGAATTCTCTGTAACATACAGAGGTGATTATTAAGTTCTGATTACTTGAGCAATTTAAGGTATATTTGGATGTTAGGACTTGGGAAGTTAGGAGGGAGAGAAAATGGATAAAATTAAGAAAAAGAGAATGAAACAGGAGAAATGACAAGTGAAACAATGAATTCTATAGCTTTGTTTGGATACTCTTAATATTGGAAATTTTCATGAAAATAACAAATTTTATTTCTTAATTTTATAAAATTCCATATAATATTTTCTACCTCTATATCTAATTTGAATACATTATCTAAATGATATCGTATTATATCTTAATTATATATGGGAAAAGTGTTTGTCATTTTAAATGACATAACACTATGTCCTTTTAAAGAGAGACAGACACTAGAAAAAAAAATTATTTAAATTTTAAATTAAAAAAAATCACCCACTTTCTCTCTCCCATGATTTCTATTTTCCTGTGTCTATCTCTTTCCTAAAATGACATAATTTATGTCATTTAAAAGGAAAAATACCAAACCCATTATATATTAATAAAGGATCTCGTGGGATTAATTTCCCTATTTTCTTATATTTCATGGTTTGTGTTTTTATTTTAAGAATTTATTTTTTGTATAAATATGGACGCTTATGTCCGAATCCCAAAGGGTTGGAAAAAGAAAATGAACTCCACTCATTTTTATGTAGAAGAGATAAAATTATTTTCAACCCTTTTAAAGTTCTACTATTAATACAAATAAGAATTAGTAATTTATCTCTTGTATTAATCACGCATCAAATATATAATATTTTTCATAATTCTTCCTTTTTCTAAATTATTTTAAATCACTGTAATTTCAGCATAAACAAATATTGATATGGTTTGTAAAAAAGATATAAAAAGTAAAACAACCTGCATCGGAGAAGGAAATTATATGTACCTGAAATGATTCCAAAAGAAAAATCACCTCTTTTCAGACATGACAATACTGAACGTGAGCTATTTTTGGCCAGTCCTCCCCTGTTTCCTTCTGACATCGATTCCCTAACTCATGGCAACCCCCAATATTCAATGTTTTCAGACAGCTAAGGCGTTGAATGCTCATTGGAAGACACATCAACTTGGGACATTCTGAAATAACTAATGTGTGAAGCAGGCCAATGTTTCCCAAGCAGTCAGGCAGGGATCCTAGGTTTGGTAGATCACGCAATTCTAATGTTTGCAGAACAGTCATATGCTGTAAAGCCTCATGCAAATCTTCAACCTCTGAGGAGCCCTCAATCGTCAATCCCTCAAGACAAGTTAGATATCGAAAACCTGCTGACAATTTGAACTTAGGGCACCGCACAATATATAATATCTTGAGAGAGTGCAATCCTTGCAATACTTCATCCGTCAATGATTTGAGGCTGTCGCAATCATTAATATACAATGCTTGGAGAGCATTAAGGTTAGCCATTTCAGTTGGGAGTACCTCAAGTCTAGAGTTCGAATAAATGTGCAGTTTCTTCAGAGAAGTAAGGTTTCATAGCATACCATCAGGGAAGCAAGTTAACTCTTCATTTGCAATGAAATAAAGGGATTCAAGACTACCGAGTTTATGAATTGAACTAATTAGTAAATCTTGGTTGCATTTCCCCATTATATGTAGTTCACTGAGAGATGGAAGGCAAGACAAGCCCAACAATTTAGGACATTCACTAATTCGAAGTGTTGAAAGGAGCGGGAACATGTTTTCTCCATCCTCACTTGATAACCTTATCAGGTTTGGCAGCTCCTCCAGTTCCAGAGTTTCCAGAGCCATGAAACTTATCGCAACTCCACCATCATAGGACTCCTCTTGCAGGTACATTACACGACTCATGTTGGATATACATAGACTCTTTAGAGAAGGTAGTTTCCCCAGCTGCAGAAGGTGTAAACAGCTTTTGCAATGCATGAGTTCTAAGTAATTTAAATATTTGAGAGAAGGAGAAGACATCCATTGTGGGAAACGGGCACCTGGAAATCTTACTACACGCAACGTTTGAAGTTGTTGGGTATGAGGTTGAAGCACTTCAAGAATCTGCTCAACATTTTCCTGTAATTCGGACTCTTCATTTCTGCCCCATGACAGCACCAATCTCTTCAGTTGCTTACTCGACATATTGGCATCTTTGGCATCCATCACACTTTTTACTCCTTCAAGGTTCTCGATGTGAAGCTCTCCTTTAAGGTTCAGTCGTCCCAATTCTGCCAAAAGAAACCTTCTTTCCTTGCCAACAAAGTACTTGCTTAAAGTCCTTAGCGAAGTCAACTTCCCTATCTGAGAGGGCAAGCTTGATAGTGAGTCGCAACCCTTCAATCCAAGATGTTGTAGAGCTTTCAGGCGTATCAAACTCTTGGGCAACTTTTTTAGATCATGACAATAGTCTAATTTCAAAATCTGCAAATTCCATATCCTACAAAGGGATTTCGGAAGAGTTTTGAAGCAACCGTGAGAAATATCCAAGTACCGTAGATGTTTTAAATGACCAATCGAAGCCGACAAATTGCTTAGCCTCTTGCTCTGAAGCACACGCAAAGAATAACATTTCCATACCTGAGATGGAAGTTGGCGATCATTATGGAATACCGCTCTATGTAGGTCTTCAAGGCTTTGACTTCGTGCAAACAAAATGACTTCCACCTATAAGTTGAGAGATGGCGAATTCTTTCGGGCGTACTAGTTACATTATTATTATCATCTGTGATGCAACAAACCTCTTCTGCCACAGATTGAGCAAGATCATGAACAAGATCATGCATCTTGAAACTTGTGATTTTGCCCAATATATCTGTCTGAATGTCTTGAAAGAATGATCTCCAATATAACTCATTCCACACCTTATCGCCAATATCTTCTGCATCCAATGTTTGATTAGATGAGACGAATCCATTAGCCACCCAAAGTTCAATTAGAAATTGCTTATCTATTACTGTATCTTTGGGAAATAATGCACAGAAGGCAAAACATTGTCTCAATTTTACTGGCAAGTTCAAGTAACTTAATCTCAAGGCAGGCATGATAAAGTCCTCATCTCTCAAGGCAGGCATGACAGAGTCCTCATCTTGTAAACCCCATAGATGGCTTTCCTTGACATAGAGCCATTGCTTTGCCTCTCTTTCAAAGCGCAAAAAACCTCCTAGTGCTTTTGCTGCAAGAGGCACGCCACCACACTTCTTTACTATCTCCTTCCCTACGACCACAAGGCCTTCTCGTTCTACCTCATCTGGTCCAAAAGCTCGTTGTTTAAACAATTCCCAACAATCATTGTTAGATAGCAATGATAAATCATGAGGAGGCGATGTTTTCATGATTTCTGCAACCTTCGAAAGACGAGTAGTGACCAAAATTGATGCACCCTTTGCTCCACAAGCCAATACAGATTTCAACCTCTGCCAATTCTCTTGTTTATCATCCCACACGTCGTCCAAAACAAGCAAATATCTTTTTTGTTGGAGTAGATCCTGAAGTCTTCTTTGCAGTGGCTCTAGATCCATATCCCCGCAGGAATGCCCAGATGCAGATTCCATGATAGCTTTCATCATTCTCTTCAAACTGAAATCTTCTGGAACACATACCCAAATTCTAAGCTCAAAATGGTTGACTACCCTCTCATGGTTGAAGATGAGTTGGGCAAGTGTTGTTTTGCCAAGTCCACCTAGACCAACTATCGGATACACAGATAAATCCTCAAAACCAGAAGCATCAACAACCAAAAAGTCTAAAATTGTATCCCTATCTCCTTCTCTTCCATAGATTTGAGGTTGAGTAATAATTGAGGTGGTTTGGCGCCAGTCAATGACACCAGTTCTTCTCTCTGTGACCGTCTCAGTCAAATGAAACTTAATCCTTTCTTCAACAATTTGATCCAATCTCTCGCTTATCATCTTCATTTTCTTAGCAGTTTTGCGACGGAAAACAACATGGTTGGGATGAAAAGAGGATAAGCAAGAGCTTTGTACCTTGTGTGATGGTCCACAATTGAATCCTTGGTACTCCATCTCCAAAGCTTGAGTGGCACACTCGTCCAAGAGGTCATCGAGCATGTGAGCTGCATCTTTCAGCTTTTGAAGCCAATCCTTGATAGCTCTGTCTGAGAATTGCTTCTCCTCAGCATCTTCAAGAGTGGCCTTGATTGCACTGAGAATGCTGCGAAACCTCTTCACCTCTTCATCGAAGCCCAGAAAAAGTCCCACCTCATTTTGAATGAGTGAGTTCAAATTATCAAGCGCAATTTGAAGGACAGCCTCAGCCATATATGTTCTGAGTTGTAACTCACAAAGTGAAAGTGAGAATGCAACAAAGAGTTTGTAGAATGGAATGGAATGGTAGTTTCAAGCAAGTAAGATTAACAAGAGAGATGACATGAGACGTTTTGCGTAGACTTGTGAAGTCAACATATGGAACCCACTAAATTAATAATGTATTATTGCAATTTCGCAGAAGCTGCAAGTCTGTCTCTGTCACGGAATTAACTCATGACATTGTGCAATCAATGACTTGTTTCCACTTTTAATTATTTGAAATTTCGTGGAAGCAACGAGATGAAATGGACGACTTGGATTTTTTGAAATGATTTTTAAAATGTTTCCAAAAATAAAACTTCACTCTGTCACAATTCTAAAATTGGAGATGCGTTTTCTATAAAAAAAAATAAAAAATTGGAGATGCGTGAACTTATTCCCAATAATTTTTATCATCATTTGTTATAGAATTTCTTTTTATTTTTCTTTGAGAAATAAGGTCAAGTTAGCACCCTTAGAAGATCAAATGGTGCTGATCTCAAATAGTATTGCGAAAATTTTAATTGATTCCAATTGTTGTGACCTCAAATAATATTGGGAAAATTCAATTGATTAGTAACTCAATTATTTCCTACTTTTTTTCGTTGTCAGTCATCTTTTGAAATTTTTTAACATGCATTGTCGCTTGAATTTTTAATGGTGTTTTATGCAAAACAATTGGAAGTATAATAACAAAATAATATATGAAAAAAGACTTGTTAATTTGAACTTTTGAAGTCCATCAGCGCCTTAACTAAACTAAAGAAACTCCCTTCATTTCTACAAAATTCTGATTGTTTTCTCTTCAAAGTCTTACCCAAATCGTGGATTATTCAATCGTATACCAGATAGAAGAGAAACGGACCATACAATCAAGTTTCTTAGAGGATTAAATGAACAATTTTCAAATAGCAGATTATAAATTATGCTCATGCGACCTCTCCCCTCAATGAATGAAATATTTACTTTAGTTACTCAACAAACTCTTCATTACACGCAAATCACTCTAATACAACTGATTCGTTTGTCATTCCTCAAAATAAAGTTTCATTACATTGTCAATGTCCATTTTATCTTTGGGACTATTAAGTGGTAGACTCAAGAATTTTTTTTTATGTCGGCACATTTAGGGGTAGGGGTTCAGGGATGGCGCTCTTTTTATTTTTATTTTAAAGATCATAATCATGATTCAATTTTCGCTTCCACTTCAAAAGTAAAGCTTTGGTGAATTAAAATGACAAACATCAAACACAATAATAAACACCGCAAAAAGATATTTGTAAAATATAGTGTAATTGTAGGGATTATTTGATCAAAAATCCACCTCTGTTGATGTCTACTTGTTCCAAAGTTGGTTACTTTTGCTTCATAAAAAAACGTGAAAAATTTCATGCGATTCTCCTTCACTTGATGAAGATTGAATTTCAAGAATCGTTGATGTCTATTAAGATTTGGAGCTAATAAGGTTTATGTTTAAAAAAAAAAAGACAAAGCAATGCGCTACAGTTTAAGCTTTAAGCTTTTAATTGTAAGGGTTGGTTGGATTGAGGCTATCTTTACCTTTTTCCTTACAATCTTCCTATTTTTTATTTTATTTTTTACCTAACCTAAATCACCCACCCTTGTGGGAAAAAAATCCCCAACTTTGTATTTGCAAGTGCAGACAATTGCAACCACTTGGGTCCACCATCGGGACTACTATTGCAATCTATCCTCATCCAAGACTATCGCAACATCTTCCTCAGGTATAACTTCAACCCTTAAAACATCTTATCTTATTTCTTCGGTTATTTCTTTTGATCGTTGCTCACCAACCTATACTAAGTATTATCTCAATATTAGTACTATGGCATAACTTAAGACCTATACTGAAGCAGCTACGCACGAGTGTTGGCACCAAGCTATAGATGCAGAAATCTTGGAACTTGAATTAAACAAGACGGGTGTTAACTGATCTCCCTCATGGCAAACAATCCATTAATTGCAAATGGGTGAACAAAATCAAAAATAAGGGAAATTGAAGCATAAAGAGGTACAAAGCCAAACTTATAGCAAAGGGGTACACACAACTTGAAGGTGTTGACTTCTTCAATACATACTCTCCAGTTGTCGAGATAACTACTGTTTACATTCTCCTCGCCATTGTTGCAGCTAAGAATTGGCATTTGGAGCAGCTAGAAGTTAATAATGCATTCGTTCATAGATAGTTACATAAGGAGGTTTACATGACTATTCCTCCTAGCATTTCAAGTTCGAAACCAAATTAAGTGTGGAAATTGACAAAATCTCTCTACGGTTTAAAACTGGCAAGTTGCCAATGGTTTTCAAAATTATCCATTGCTCTTAGATACCATTCTTCCAATGTTGATCGCCATTGGTTTATCAAGAGTCCTTGTTCTCTACTTACTGCTATTCTTTTGTACGTGGACGACATCATCCTAATTGGAAACTACATATCCGAGATTTCTAATGTCAAATAGTACCTGGATAATTAGTTTCAAACTAAGGATCTTGGGAGCCTTTGCTATTTCTTTGGTCTTGAGGTTTCTCGTTTGTCTAAAGGATTAGTTAACAAAAATACGCATTAGAGCTTTTGGCTGACAATGGTCTCTTAGGTTATAAGCCTTGTTCTACTCCCATGGATCCTTTGAAAAGCTTTAAAACATTCAAGGTTCAGCTCATTCTGATCCCTCCGCTTATCGTTGTCTTGTTGGAATATTGTTTTACCTTACAACAACTCGCCTAAATCTTTCATTTGCAGTGCAGCAACTTAGTCAATATGTTTCCAATCCTATGGAGGCACATATGCAAGCTGCAATGCGAGTTCTGCGCTACATTGAAGGTTCTCCTAGCAAGGGGTTATTCTTCCCATGTAAGAATGATCTTCTCCTTTTCGAATTTTCTAATGCTAACTGAGGATGTTGTTTGGATGCTCGAAAGTTTGTCTCTGGCCTATGCGTTTTCACTGGACATGCTCTCATTTCTTGGAAATCGAAGAAATAGACTATATTTTCTCGATCATCTATTGAAGTTGAGTATCGTGCATTGGCTAGTATAGCTTGTGAGCTTTAATTGGTTAGATATCTGTTGCAGGATCTCTGTGTTCCATTTTCTAAACCAACCTTAGTATATTTTGATAGCCAATTTGCTATCTATTTGGCCACAACTTAAGCTTCCATGAGCAAAGTAAGCCTTCGTTTGGATGGGCTTCTCCGTAGTCAGAAGTTGCTTTTTTTTAAAAAAAAAAAGTGCTTTTAAAATTTTAACAATGTTTGGATGATAGCTTTAAAAAAAGCACAAGTTAATGAAAAAGTTAAGATTTAACTTTTTTCAAAAGCTAAAATTTCTGACTTCTTGGAAAAGCAGAAGCCAAAAGCTAGTAGCAAAGCCTCGTGGACAGATTAGACCCTCAGCTCCTACGCCATTTCTTCTTCCTTTCCATCTTCATGCAATCTTTCATGCCCCAACAGTCCTGAATCAACCTTGAGGTTGAAGACATGAACGGTTCCCTTGTCACTTGAGATAGCTAGCCACTGTGCAGGATGAGAGAAGGCAAGGCTGTATATTTCTGCTCGGTCTGCACTTCTCCGTACCTGAAATCATCATCACACTAATTTCCATTCAAACCTCTAAAATAGTTGAACTCAGCATAAGCCTCTTCAACACAATACAATAAAACTCCTAACATTTCAAAACAATTAGCCTAAGAAGAAAGAAGATAGAGACAGACCCCAAGTTTGGATGAGCTTTTTCCCAAATCAGATTACATCTTATGACAAGAAATTAATTAGTCTCAAATTAATATGAAACAATGGAATGATTGAACAATTAATAGGACATGAACGTGAGATGAAGAGAGCGTACCGAATGATTTCACAAACAAGAATGAATTCATGCAAAAGGAGAGAGAGAACTCAACGAAAGAATGAACGAATTCAGCGAAATAATGAACCAATTGCATGGGCGACGCCAGACTTGTCAGGGTTGTAACGCCCGGCCGCTTCAAGAATCAACGACTATCCCCACATACTAACACGAGACTTTTCAGTGTGCTTTTTTCTCACTCGCAGACTTCCTGAGAAAACTTCCCAAGAGGTCACCCATCCCAGAATTGCTCCAAGTCAAGAACGCTTAACTGTGAAGTTCTTCCGTTCCGGGCTACCGAAAAGCAGATGCATCTTGTTAGTATAGGTAGTACCAATTAATTCTTATAAGCTATCCCAAACTGTGCAGTCTCATACCTGCACAGTCTTTGGAATCCCTTTCTTTCGGGTGTCGATTCGATTCATTTGTTCATGTAACCCGTCACCCATCCCAGAATTGCTCCAAGTCAAGAACGCTTAACTGTGGAGTTCTACCGTTCCGGGCTACCGAAAAGCAGATGCATCTTGTTAGTATAGGTAGTACCAATTAATTCTTATAAGTTATCCCAAACTGTGCAGTCTCATACCTGCACTGTCTTTGGAATCCCTTTCTTTCGGGTGTCGATTCGATTCATTCGTTTATGTAACCCCCCGCTGGAAGCCTGTCAGGAGCCGCTCCTTGTCCATGCCCTTTCGCACCGGCGATCACTCCCCGCCCTCGTCAGCGCTCGGGATGTTACATGCCCACCAGCTTCCGCCTGGTTCGTCCTCGAACCACACCGTACTGGAAGAGAGGCCCTGCTCTGATACCACTTGTAACGCCCGACCGCTTCAAGAATCAACGACTATCTCCACATACTAACACGAGACTTTTCAGTGTACTTTTTCCTCACTCGTAGACTTCCTAAGAAAACTTCCCAGGAGGTCGTTCATGTAACCCCCCGCTGGAAGCCTGTCAGGAGTCGCTCCTTGTCCATGCCCTTTCGCACCGGCGATCACTCCCCGCCCTCGTCAGCGCTCGGGATGTTACATGCCCACCAGCTTCCGCCTGGTTCGTCCTCGAACCACACCGTACTGGAAGAAAGGCCATGCTCTGATACCACTTGTAACGCCCGACCGCTTCAAGAATCAACAACTATCTCCACATACTAACACGAGACTTTTCAGTGTACTTTTTCCTCACTCGTAGACTTCCTAAGAAAACTTCCCAGGAGGTCACCCATCCCAGAATTGCTCCAAGTCAAGCACGTTTAACTGTGGAGTTCTTCCGTTCCGGGCTACCGAAAAGCAGATGCATCTTGTTAGTATAGGTAGTACCAATTAATTCTTATAAGCTATCCCAGACTGTGCAGTCTCATACCTGCACAGTCTTTGGAATCCCTCTCTTTCGGGTGTCGATTCGATTCATTCGTTCATGTAACCCCCCGCTGGAAGCCTGTCAGGAGTCGTTCCTTGTCCATGCCCTTTCGCACCGGCGATCACTCCCTGCCCTCGTCAGCACTCAGGATGTTACATGAGCCGTGATTGCAGGGAGGGGAGTCGAGGTGGTGGTGGTAGGCGTGAGTAGCAGCACGACGCTGAAGGTCTCCGATGGCGTTGCAGAGGCACTCCTCTCTGCGTCAGAGTTATCTGGTACTTGAGGAGTGGAGGATAAATGAAGTGAAGGGTACAATAATCATTTTGTAATTAAAAAGTGCTTTTATATTTTAACATTCAAATGACATTTATACTTAAAAGTATTTCTCAAATATTACATCCAAACGAAAAATAATATTAACTTTTAAATAAAGTTCTTTTAAAAAAAGTAATTCATAAAAAGTCCTTATTTTCAAAAGCTCATCCAAACGGGCCCTAAAATATATTGAGATGGATTGCCATATTATTAGAGAAAAGGGTCACACTAGTTTAATCCATTTTTTTGCTATATCCACCAATGCGCAACTTGTTGACGTTCTGACAAAGCCCTTGCATCTAGTTATGTTTCATGCTATTGTGTCCAAGTTAGGGCTCATTGATATTCACCTTCCAACTTGAGGGGGCAATAATGATAGCAACGACAACTAACTTCTACTATTTTTTCTGATTTTTATTGTAACAATATTAAGTTAGTAAGTTAGAGTTAGCTATTCGTTATTCTTTTATTCTTTAGTCAGTTAGCTTCCATCTTCTATATGCTGATCTATATATCAGCTTTCGTGTACTTTCTTTGATCACAATATGAAATCATATTTTTCCTTATTTGGAATAAAACATGAAAAAATAAATTTAACCTCTTTCTTGATATTAAACGCATGAATTTTATGATTTTAACTTCAAATCATTAACAATTATAATCTTACCATAGGGGAGTCAAATTTGCAATTTATTCATCTACCTTTATAAACTTTTCTCAATCCAATCGAAGGATGACAATGCATATTGTTAGAGAATATTATAAATCATTAAAAAGACCCTCACTCACTAGCTTAAGCTTTTGGGTTGAAATGATTCTTTACATAGTATTAGAGCTTTGTGTCCCCGCTTCAATCCTCACTGCTCCCATTTTCTCTTGTGAAATTTTCTTAGCACAGGTAGTGGACCTGTGCATTGTCCACCTTTCAAGCCCAGTGGGCTCTCGTGTGAAAGGACATGTTAGAGAATATTATAAATTGTTAAAAAGGCCCTCACCATCAGCTCAAGCTTTTGAGTTGAATTATTTCTTTATACATACTATTAGAGATGGCAAATCAGGTTAGGTCTTAGCAGGCGGGGCAGATTATGTTTGACAACCCACCAATTTGCCTAGCCTGTCCCGCCTAACTTGCTTTTTTTTCTCTCTTTTTTTTTATAACTTTTACTTTATACATTTCAAAAGCATGGCAGGGTGGGTCAAGTTTTTCATCCCTCTTTCAAAAGCGAGGTAAGGGGGTTAACCCTTATTTGGCGGGTTGATGGCGTCTTTGCTATATACAAGTATATTCCTTGTCGCTGTCTCAAATAATCGGCATGGTTATGATTCAAGTCTATAACTTGGTGTTTATACATATATAGTTATAGGCATGGAAATGGTGAGACTAAGTTCAATTTTTGCTTAATTAGGTAACTTAGAGGTGGCAAAGCGGGCACCCCATCCCGCCAAAAAATGAGTCAATCTGCTCGTCCGAGCTTGGCGGGCAGGGTAGGTTGGCCCAATGGGCTGCACCTGTTTTGCATAAAAAAATAAAATGAGTTAGTCGAGTTGTAAAATGCGGTCGGCCTTATAGGTTTACCTATTTTTTAAATATAAAGCTTGAGTATGACTTATTACTTCAAAAAACCTTTTTTCTTTGATGTCGTATAACTTGTTTAAAAGGTAAACCTGAAAACTGATTTAAGGAATATATATATATATATATATATATATATATATATATATATATATAGAGAGAGAGAGAGAGAGAGAGAGAGAGAGAGAGAGAGAGATAAAATATTTTTACAGCCACTTTAGATAACATTATCTACAACTATCTTTTTTTAACTAAGTCTGATCAATAAAGAATAGTTATAACAATAAAGTTGTTCTTTTTTTTCCTCTTCTCAGACATTGTTGACTGAAATGGTGGAGAGAGAAAATACAATTTTATTGTCTTACTGGTCAGATTTAGTTAAAAAGGATAGCCATAGACAACCTTATTTAAAGTGACTATCAGTCTAAATGACACAACTTTGTATGATTTTTTTATATTATTTCTCCTTGAATATACACACTCTGCACCAAAACGACGTCGTTTATGACACAAAGTTGTGTCATTTAAAATGACAAATATTTTTTCTATATATATAATAGGGGCAGGATCATCTTACACTGGTGTAAAAATAATAAGTCTTACACCAAATCTTAACCGTTGATTTTAGAGCATATAACGGTTAAAATTTATTGGGTCTCACTCATTAATTAATTTATAATTTCCAATTAATCTCAACCGTTAGATACTCGGAAAATAACGATTAAGATTTAGAGTAAGATTTATTATTCTTACACCGGTGTAAGTTGATCATATCCCTATATAATATGGTAACTTGTTAATTTGTTTTTCAAAGCCATAAAATGTGACTTATTTAATTAAACAAACTTTTTAAAAAACTTTCTCATGATATTATTACTAAATCAAGTATGCTCGTGCTGTAATAAATCCAATTTCGGGTTTTAGGCTTCGTTAACTTTTTAATTATAATGTATCCACATGGGCTAATAAATTGGAGCAATCCAAAGCGAGAGAGACGACAGTAGAGGAAATCTGGTCCACATCATTACAAGGGTTTGGGCCTCTATTTGAGACAAAGATCGTGGGCTTCGGAGCCCGGAGGGCCCAATCGAGGAGGTTAAGGTTTTGTAATCTGATCTCCGTGACCACAATTTCGATTCGGCGGCAGTGGCAGAAAGCAACGATGGCGAAGCATACGGAAGCGGCGAAGATTCTATGGGGGGAGATGGAGGAGGACGACGGCGAGGATCTGGACTTTCTTCTTCCGGATAAACAGGTAATAGGGCCAGATCAGAACGGCATAAAGAAAGTGATAGAGTACAGGTTCAACGAAGACGGCAACAAGGTCAAGATAACCACCACCACTCGCATCCGCAAGCTCGCCAACGCACGCCTCAGCAAACGCGCCGTCGAGCGCCGCTCCTGGCCCAAGTTCGGCGACGCCGTTCAAGAGGATGTCGGTAGTAGGCTCACCATGGTCTCCACCGAAGAGATCGTCCTCGAGCGTCCCAAGCCTCTTGGTCAGTCAATATCATTTTTTTTTCTATTTTGTGAATAATATTATGCGATTCGTAGTTATTTTAATAACACTGGAATGTGCTGATTGTGACACTATACCTAAGAAAGTGTTTCTGGGTTGGAGTATAGAAATATGTAATGTATAAAATAATAAAATCATCATAGACTTCAGTGATTAATGTTGCTTGTAAAATGTTTTCTATGTACAATTAAATTGAAATTCTGTGCCCTGGAATTTATGCTTCTGGGCCTGCAATGGAATATGTTACATTTTTTTAGCCTTCTTCTTGTTTTTCTGGAATGAATTTTGCTCTACATTAGAAGGTAATTGTTAATTATTAATCACTGATGGCATCTGTAAGACTCTGTCAAGCTGAGATGATATTGTATGCATATCTTGTAGTAACTAGTTAGTATCGGATGTATTTGTATATATATAGGTGTTAACTTGGCCTTAATGTGTGTAGGTGTCTACTTTAATAGCGGATTAGCATATCTAGTACATGGTATAATAAAACTTTGCAATTGTTTACAGGTGCAAAAACTGAGGAACCGACGGTGGCTGGAGATCCATTAGCTCAATTTCAGAAAGGTGCTGTTCTTATGGTCTGTAGGACTTGTGGGAAGAAGGGTGACCATTGGACTTCAAGGTGTCCATACAAGGATCTTGCCGCACCATCCGAGGGATTTGTTGATAAGCCTCCTGCGTCTGATGCTGCCACTGCTGCTCCGGGTTCAACTAAGGGCGCATATGTGCCTCCCGGATTGAGGGCCGGTGCTGAGAGGACTACTGGATCAGACATGCGGCGTAGGAATGATGAGAATTCTGTGCGGGTCACTAACCTCTCAGAGGACACGAGGGAGCCTGATTTGCATGAACTGTTTCGCCCTTTTGGTGCTGTGAGCAGAGTCTATGTTGCTATTGATCAAAAAACTGGTATGAGCAGAGGTTTTGGCTTTGTTAACTTCGTTAACAGGGAAGATGCTCAAAGAGCTATTAGCAAACTCAATGGATATGGCTACGACAATCTCATCCTTCGAGTTGAATGGGCCACCCCAAGGACAAACTAGATTTTGTTTTTATTTGCCTTATCCCTTGAAACCTGTCTTGAAGTTCTATATTTGGCAAGAGTATTGTATCATCTACATCTTTTGAGAATTTTATTTAAATTTTCAAGATCTCTTGCGAGGTTTTTTTGTGGTTCATAAATATCAATTTCCCCTTGCTGGTCATTTTATAATAGAAATATAACTTTGAGTTTCTTGATCAAGTTTCTCTCGTTCATGGCATGGATTTCACGAGGTGATATTCTGATGCAGTTCATACATATATCGTATTGAAGATTATGAAACATTAGGATCATGAATTGCACAATTTATATTTGTTTTATAGAAAGAGAGGATTAATTCTCGTGTCATTTCCATCCAAGTAGTTATACTTTTCCGTTTTCGCAGCTACATATATGCATGAAACTGTGGGTAATGTATAATTTTTTGTTCGTTTACCACAGTATAGTATAATATAGTATGTATAACATGTGACAAAATCAGTAAATTAAAAGTGGAATTCTGCTAACACAGTTAGACATGGTTGAATTGATATGTTACTGCACAGGAATCGTGAGTTGTGACTTAAGAAATGGAGCTTGAACTGCGTCTTCGTTTTTGATGCTTCAACAAAGGAAGGTGGTGATCAAATAAAGTTGAAAAAGATGACTCATTTTGCGAGTTTGGAAAAATTAGTAAAACTAGGTAAAAATTCAGAATAATTAGAGCGAATAAGAGGTCTATGGGCTATTTTGGCCAGAACAATTTATTTTAGAAAATGATTTACTAAAAAAGTAAATTAGAGAAATGGTGTTGATTGCACCATACTGAAGATGCAAGTAGGAAGGATTCACATGAGTTTGCGCGGCTCTCTCTCCCATGCCTCAGCCCCGTCCACAGCCACGGTTCATGGGAGGCCCTGTCTGTTTCAAGAAAATTGATATTATGTCTAATTTTTTTCATGCATACTTTACCTATTTGTTAGATTAGAATATCAAAAAATAAAATATGAAGGTTAGTTGTAATTCTGATTAAATGCAGTGGGAGATGAACATGTATAGTACACATGCAAAAAAAAAAAGGTAGCTACAATATTTGCATAATCCAAAATCTAATTGTTTTAGATTCTATTTTTTTTTTCAATGAAAAACTTACCCAAACAATCTAAAATACAAAGTAATTCTTTGAACAAAACAAACTAATTATTTTCAAGAAAAAATATGAACCAAAGACACTCATAATTAGTAACTGAGATGATATTTGCTCAACTCTGGTGAAGAACAGGTAAAAAAAAAGAGTGGAAGGTGTGTGATTTAACTCAATCTTTAAATATCTTAGAGGGATGACGTGGACGTGGGGCATTCTCTAGTCAGCAGTAAAAGCTCTCCACTCTCGAGTCAATTAATAATGTTGTTTGTGGGGACCATTTCATATGCATTACTTCACTCTCTGCCTGTATCTTGAGACTTAGCTCTATCTTTTCAAATTTTCTTCTTTCTGGGTTGTATCAGCCATGGCTTCCTTCGTCGAATCTGGTTGGCAGGTTCTGTCTCTTTCCACCATTTTGCTTCATTCATTCTTCTCCTTTAGAATTTCAACTTTATAATCATCCTTGATTTTTGTAATGTGCCCATTTTAATTTAAAGATCAAATTCACCTGTCACATGGCTTGATTACATATATACTAGGAGTTGAAGAATGGAAAGTTGATTGGCATTTTAGTATGTAACAATTTCAGTCTTATAACTTTTCATATGTAAAAAACATTGTGGAAGGGAGAATTCTGCAATTCTGGCTAGGACCTGCCATTTCACAAAAAATATAATTGATGTTTCTTCCTTCATGATAGTTTGGCTTTTACAAGTGGTTTTTTTTTTTTTTTTGGGGTGTGGTTGCAGTGGTTGATCACGCATTTCAGTGACTTCCAACTGGCATGTTTGGGAAGTCTCTTTCTGCATGAAAGTGTTTTCTTCTTATCTGGGCTTCCTTTTGTATGGATCGAGAGGGCAGGATGGCTAAGCAAGTACAAGATTCAGGTTTTGCCTTATTCGACTTCATTCTTCTCTTTATAAATTTTGTGATTTATGGTTTTTATTTTTATTTTTCAAGCTAGAGATTAACTGCTTTATGTTTGCTCCAATGTAGTTTGCTTTGGCAATTGATATGGTGGAGATATTCCCTAGGACCTGGTCTTGTCCTTCATATCAATAGTTTAGTTCTTCCCTGTTTTCCACAGTCCAAAAATCAATTCTATGTTGGCCTTTAGGACTGAAAGTTATAGCAGATTTCCCTATGTCTCATCTTCCTTGTTTCCCCTATGTCTCATCTTCCTTGTTTCTATGTCCTGCATAGCATGGATTTCAAATAATCCTTTTTACATGCATGTCTATTCTATGCTATAGTTGAATATTGCATAGGCTAAGAAACCCCCCAATGCCAGTACTAAACAATAAATTTCTCAATTTTTATTTGTAAATATCTAATTATCTACTTCCAAAAAAAAATAACTGTCTTGCCTTGTTAAGATTTATGGTAGACACTAATGCTTACTTTCATGCAGGGAAAAAATAATAGCACTGCAGCTCAGGAGAAATGTGTCATTCGCTTAATGTTGTACCATTTTGGCGTCAATCTACCAGTTATGATCTTTTCATATCCTGTGTTTAAATACATGGGCATGCGAAGTAGTCTTCCATTGCCATCCTGGTACTTTCAAGTTATTTACGGCAGTCTCATTATTTCTGGAAATTTGAGCTCCATGATAAGAGCCATTTTTGTAAACATTTCTGATATGTAATTCCATTAAGCTTACAGGGCAAGATTTTTTTATTTTTTATTTTTGGTTTTGCAGGAAAGTAATTCTAACCCAAATAATCTTTTACTTCATTTTGGAGGATTTTGTATTTTACTGGGGACACAGGATATTGCACACAAAATGGTTTTACAAACATGTACACAGCGTGCACCGTGAGTAAGGATTAGGTGTATTCTAGTGTTGGTTCTCATTTATGCTTTTTAAGGTTTTATTTTGCCACATTGTGAAGGTATGCTACACCTTTCGGACTTAGTTCTGAATATGCTCATCCTGCTGAGATACTTTTCCTTGGAGTTTCTACCATTGTTGGTCCCGCTGTCACTGGGCCTCACTTGTTAACTCTCTGGTTATGGATGGTTCTGAGAGTCCTGGAGACAGTTGAGGCACATTCTGGTTACCATTTTCCATGGAGTCCTTCAAACTTCTTTCCATTTTATGGGGGGTGAGTGTCAAGTTCGTTCTTCTTCACTTGAGACCAGGCATTTGGTTTATTCCACTATAGTGCTTATTGTTAAGCTTTGCATCCTCACTTTCAGAGCTGATTTCCATGACTATCATCACCGTTTGCTGTACACCAAGTCAGGAAACTACTCATCAACCTTTACTTACATGGACCGGTATGTATTGGACATATTTTGCTAAAAGCGTAAGTATTTTGGTTAAAATCTGAGGTGGCCTAAATGACATTACATGGATTTTCCTTGGAGGATTAACATGCTTTTCCTTTTTAGACTTTCCCCCAATAACACTGACAATGGTGTGTTATTTGTTGTTTTTCTTATTAGGATATTTGGAACTGATATAGGGTACAGAAAGTTGAAAGCATTGAAGAGTGCAGCGGTTGAAGACAGAAAAACCGGTCCCCATGAAACATAAGCATTGAAGAGTGCAGCAGTTGAAGACAGTTACACCGCTCCTGATGAAACTTTGAGTTGTGATGGTAGGGGTAAGGGGAATCTTTGTACACGGCCTTACTCTTGTATTTTTTGCAAAAAGGCTGTTTATTGCAGTTTAAATTTCTGGGATTATCCAGAAAAATCAGAATGTTGATATCCAAATAAATAACATAATGGAAAATGTCTTGTCCTATCATTGCCTTAATGTTTTTGGTTTGGTAGCAGTTCTTTTATACAGCGTGCGGAAGGCTTTCTTTAGAGACATCTAGTCTTGTTTTTCAGACAAATATAGTAATGTTATTTTCAATGCTCCAAGTTGAATCAAGTTGTTCTACTTTCAGTTATGGTTTGTTTCTGATGTTAGATGTTAACTTTCTTTGGTTGGCAATTTGGTATTTTGTTGTTATGCTTCTAAGCAAGTACCATAAGCTTCTGTATAATCTGATCTTAAATATTTGGCCTGTTAGGTAGCTAACAAGGAATCTCCTAATCAAGATTAACAAGTATTTGTCAAGAAATTGGAGAGAAGTTGCGGTTGGGATATGTGGAATCAAGTACTGAGACGTCCAGCATACAGTGATCTGCTTGAGATATGTGGTAGGAAACATCTTAAATGAGTGATGAGTAAGCTACTACAAGACGCCCTCATTATACTTTGGGTTAATGCAATTCAATCTTGCTTCTTGAGCAAACTCTTATTAGTAACTTACCCTATTTAAGAATCATGTTATGATAAGTTCTTGTATATTCAGATAATAATACACTCTTCCAATTAAAACATAACAATCGATACTGAAATTGAATATGTATCAGATTTATTTTAGATTTATTTTTTTAAATAAAATGTACACCTTTGAACTACTCTCAGAATCTCCCAACGTGATGGGTTGCAAGGATTAAACAGATGACTCTTTAGTTTCATTGGTGTCAGATGCAGGACCAGCCAAATATTTTTCATTTATAAATTAAGGGTTCTTTTTTTCTCATGTTACATTCCTGTAACCGTTTTTTAATTATGTTCTTCCGAAAGTACGTAATTATATTATTAAAGTTATTTTTTTTAACTATGTACTCCTGGAAATACATAATTAAAAAATGATTGTAACATGAGAGACACATTTTTAATAAATTAATAGCTTACCGGACAACAATATAATTGGAGGTGATGGAGGCTCAGTCCAAAATGGTGTAATGTAATGAAAAATAAATGGGCCAAAACACCGTCATTGTAAGCCCTTTTTTGTATGTAATCTTATTAATTTGGTCTATTTCTGTTGACAGCCCTGTTTGCCAAAACAATTCACTCAGCAGTCAGCAGGCCATTTGTTCACCTTTCAATTTCTCTAATAGTATTTTCTTAATGAATTTGCTATAATGACCCTAACTGGTAAATCTTAGTTAGAGATTTAATTTAAGGATTTAAATGCCATAATTAGATTCAGTGAGCGATTTCGAGTATTTTGACTGTAATCATGACTATGTTATGAACAGTGCGTTCTGCCGGAGAATTTACAGTTTTGTGAATTAACCGGTAGAGCTTAAAATGAGCAAAATAATTTTAGGAACATAATTTGAAAATTCTGATGACAAATATGAGTTCAGAACGAAAAATTGTATAGTCTGGCACTTTCCGTGAAAATCTCGTGAATAGTGTTTCTACCGGGTATTTTGTACTGCTGTTTAAGCAACCGGTAGAGTCCAGAAATAAATAATTGATGAAATAAGAATAAGAAAGTCCAATATATGCCAAGCAAGTCAATATAGGCCCAAGAAAATGATAAGTTTATAAGTTTTAAGTTTCGTAAGTAAAGGAAGTACAATTAGTGATGCACAGTGCATTTCGTCAAAAACGGTGCAAAAACCATACTGTGAATTATGAATATTGTTACTTAGGAAATAAAAATTAATTTAAATGACTTTAGAAAAATAAAAATATATCTGTAGCTTTAAGTTAAGTTCCGGGTCAATTAAGTAAAAATACGCGATAGAAAAACAACCGGGTAAAAGGGCCACATGTGCTTAAAAGCTTAAGTGACTCAAATGAGCACTATTCAAAATCAGCTCTCTCTCCTCTCTTCCTCAAAGAAGCCGAGCTGCACTTGGTGAAAAGGGGGGGTAGGGTTTGGTTCTTCATTTCTTTGATTCTCACTCCAAAGTTAACCAAATCACAAGTCCCACTACTTGAAATCGATGGGAAACCACCCAATGAGTCCATCCCACCCATTTATTTGAGCTATCATTGGTTGTGTGAGGAGATATTTCCTTCCCCAAATTCGTGTACTATTCATCAAGAGGGCAAAATGAAGTTTTTGATGGAGATTCTCTTGGTGTAGGTCTTCTAGGCTTTGGGTAGTTGATTTGAGGAAACAAACCTCTATTTCCATGATGTTGTTTTGATTATTTAAGTTATAAAATTGTGTATATGCCTTGGGTGGAAAAGCATGATGTGTTAAAATATGTATTGATGAGGAATAATTGATATTTTGATGTATAAAATGAAAATAAGCATTTGTATGTATGTAAAAAAATTAGAAAAAAATCCTATGATTTCCTCTACATGTTCGGCCATCATAGATGAAGAGTAGGTTGTTGTGCAAAAATTTTATCTTAAGAATTGTGAAGGTATAGTGTGTTGGAAATGAGTGAAAATGGATGAGTTAGTAAGAATGCCTAAGTAAAAAGGACTTGGTGTCTAAACTCAAAATAGGAATTTAGTGGAAGCATTCCTAGGTGTTTGCAAGTTGTAATGAAGTAACGAAAATGCATTGTAAAAGAGAAGGATCTTTGGAAATTCCCCTTGTAGGATTCGACCTATAGGGTATTTAGGGACATATTTTGTACATTTTATTTTAAATAAAATGTGTTGTAATAAATTGTATAAAGGTGATGAGTTTTGAAGAAAAATAGCATGATTTATGTTGAAAATTCCTAAGGGAATGGTTGATTAAATTAAAGAACACCGACGGTTATAAAGAGGTCTAGACTTGTGTATTGGCATAGGATTGGCAAAAATGCAAAGAAAGGAAAATAAGCGATAAAATGTATGCTTATGAAATAATTATGGTATTGCATCATTTTATTGATGCATTGTAAATTATTCTCTAGGTGTGCCTAGGGATTGAGAAGGATCGGAAATCTCTTGAAGCGATAAAAGTAACTTGTTCCACAAGTAAGCGTATTGGTAAAGCTTCAAGAGGTAAGCTCTATGTTTAAGGAGTCTTTTCCTGCTTGAGTGCTCCACCATGGTTAGTGAACTATGGTTGGACTGTATGACTGTGATTTAGATGCTTTGTATGGATGCATTCATATAGAGTTATTTGATAACATGATATGTTTTGCTCTGATGTGACTTCTGTAATTTGATTTCTGTAACAATCTCTGGCCATTGATTGTATAGTACCCGGACGTCCGCTTTGGGGTCCTCCCTCGGGACTGATGGTGTACTCCTCTGATATGTCTGGTTCCGCTTTGGGGTCCTCCCTCGGGAACACGTGCGTTGATTTCCGCTTGGGGTCCTCCCTTGGGAATGACGGCGCACATCTCTGATATGATATGGATATATGCTCGGTTCTGTTATGATATCTGTTATATGTTGTATTTGTATACTCTGTATCTGAATTTCATGTAGGAGTGAGCCAGGGGTATGGAGAATTCTCTATAAACCTGGAGCTTATTGAGATTTGTAATCTCACCCCTCTTTGGGGACACATTTTCAGGGGCCCAGATTTCCGGTGAGTCCTCACTAGGCAGGGACACGACACGTGGCTGAGGCAGTTGACAGACCGGATTTTGAGTGGCTGTAGGCTACTACCTTTTTGGAGTGTTTGATGTATTCTAGTATTTTCGCATTTGATGGATCATGATATTGATCCTTTATTTTGTATATGGCCTGTATATGTTTTGTACATGTCTATCAGTTTGATGCATGTACATTTGAGTATTCAGGAACGTTATATGATGATGTAGTATTCAGATAGGTTTATGTTTTGATGGCATGCTGTTAGATTTAGTGGCACGGAGCCATGTTATGCATGCGCCCATGTATGGGTATTTGATTATATTTGGATATCTGGTATTTCTGAATTGATATGTTGTATAAACTGTTTATCAGGAAATGCTTCTGAGTGGGATTGGAAAATCCCCAGTTGTCCGATTTATAGAGGAAACTCTGCCCGATTTTCGTTTACGCCGAGTAAGAATTAAGTTAGAAAAAGAAAAAGTTAGCTCATCTTTTTGTAAGTTAAGTCTTCCGCTGTTTCTGTTTGTATCATATGTATGTTAATTGAACCGGCTCGAGACGGGGATGTTACATTTGCCAATATCAATTTTTCTTATATAGTTTTGGTCTGCATATTTTTAGTTTTTTTTTTCAAATTTATATATAAATGAATATATCTGATCTTCAATATCTAAACCCAAGTAAAGATATGTATGTCGATTATATCAAGGTCGCAGTGATTCTTCTGTCAGTCACTACTTGATATGTCTTCACATAGAAATATGTGATTGAATGGAAAACTCTATGGCTATAGCAGCAAAAGCATCATATGGACACCCCATCAATGAAAACAGGAAGATCCATCCAATGAAGATACTATATATGCACAAGTTCTTTGAGGCGTGGCACCCAATTTTGAATTTACTTAAAAGGACTAATTCAAATTAAGCTCATTTCTTGCGTACTATAGAACCTGCAGGCTCTATCAAACCTTCTCAGTGTTTATTATATGGTTCAAGTGGCAAGGCCTTGCGTGATTTGAGTATTATCAAAAGCACATTTCTTTGAGGATTTATATATTTTTATTCCTCAAATCAATTCCCTGGGAAAAGGAAGATAAGGAAAAGACAAAAGTTTGCCACCCGGTCTGACATATAATTGACACCCAAACAAGAAATGTTTCAGCTAATGCATATAATTATCCCATTATGACCTTATAAATGTTCCCAAAAACTATGACACGCCCAATTTGATTTGATTAAAACAAAATGATGTGGGTGACAAGGTGGCCACCATGAAAATCGTGGTGTCCATTTCTCACTTCTCTTCAAACTATTCTTAGTATCACTTTATTCCTGCCTAACCAATAATTCTAATCTAGTGTTACTCACTCGTGCCTATCTCTTTCTATGTGAGGTTAATGTGCAATGAAGCAAATAGACAGTTAAAATCATCATCAGTGGGGAAAAGTGAAAGAAAAGAAAAGTGATAAATCTTTTGCCATTCGTGCATGAATTTGTCAAATATGTGTCAAAGAGGAAACACGACTTTATGCTAAAGTTTTTGTCTTGCTGATGGTTAGAAATGTTGTTCTAATCCATTATTTGTTGTAACAGTGGTTCCATTCGCATATAAACTATGATTGTTGTACGTCAAAATTTGATTACAATAAAACATTTGAGATCATGCACTAACCAAGCATATCACATCAATCGTGTGGTGGGTTAATGGAATCAATGATTTTTGCTCATCACACCAAACAACGGTTCTTTGCACATGGTCATAGAACTGTGCAGATTCGAAATATCAAGCAACCCACCAACAATGTTTTTTCAAGCATATTATTCTTATTT